CTGGTGAGCCAAAGAAAATATTCAAATATTTCACCTCTCAATTCCTAAACTGCTTCAGGTTCTCCTGTGCAAGGCTGCAAGTTTGAATCCTGATTTTTTTTTTTTTTTTGGGGAAATTTCTGGAGGAAATGAATGGAGGGTGGAGGAGTTGAATGGAAGGATTTGATGGGAAGAATCAAAATGGAAGAATTTGATGGAAAGTGGAAGATTGGCACCAAAATTGGCACCAAAATTGGCACCAAAATTGGCAGAATTGGATGGAAGAAAACACAGGGGTCACATTCATTCTGATCTTCATCTTTTTAACATTTAATATTTCATATTCAGAATTTTCAAATCTTGATTGTTATTCTAATATTCTTGGAATTATTGGAATATTGAAGAGTCAGGATATTTTTAGCCACACTGAAACCAGGCTGTGACTCACTCACACAGATAGAAATCTCCTTCCCTGCATTGGGAACTGCTGAGGAATAATTAAAAATGATCATTCTAAATGATAATTCTAAAATAAAAACACAAAACCAGTCACCAGCATCACCAAGCCCACAAGTCCCAGCTCGTCACTGACTTGCCCAGGGAGGTTTGGTTACTTGGCCTCAAATGTGACTTTTTATTTTATTTTATTTTATTTTATTTTATTTTATTTTTGTTCTTCCCAAATCCTCCTCTCCATTCACAGAGCCCCAATAAGATTAAAAAAAAAAAAAAGAGTCAATTTTTAATAACAGTTTTATATCACAACGGTAAAATTTGCAAAATCCACTCTCTAACCAGCTGCTTTAAAGTGAATTCTTGTTAAAAAAAAAATACCAGAAATTTAGAAAAGCCCAAGTACTCCATAGATATTCCCAAAATCTGAATGGATTCCCAATCTTGAGAGAACAAAGTTTTTCCTGGGAAAATGTTTTTCCTTTCTGCCTATCCTGAGAGATAGGAAAAATTGAATTACCAGACATTGTTATGCACATTTTTATTTACACAGGCCCATCTTATGGTTAAAAAAAAAAATAAAAAATAAAAAAATTAAGGTTTGAAAGCTTTGGTGCAGTTTGTGGGTTGGACTGGATAATCTCAAGAGGTTCCTTCCAACCTAAACAATTCTGGGTTTTTCTGTGGGAGGGGAAAAGGGTTTGGCTGGAGATTTTTGGAGATAGGCTGGTTAAAAAAAAAAAAAAAAAAAAAAAAAAAAAGGAAAAAAAAAAAAAAAGAAAAAAAGCCAAGCTGCTAAAGATAACCACGTTAAATTCAGTTTATTGACAACTTTGCTTTCACAGGCTGCTTCTTCCCCTCACAGGGATTGGTGGGGAAGCTGTGGTTGAAATAAGGGAAAAAAATAAAATTAGGAGAAGTTCCAAAGCCAGGAAAAACAAAACATGAGCCAGAAAAAAAAAAAGAAAAAAAAAGGGGCAAACAGAACTTCCTACACACCTAAAGTGGTAGAAGCAACACAGCACATCCCTGTCAGTTACAAACCAAATAAAAAAATGGTAAAACCAATTCTTGATTAGTTTGGTGAAGTTCCTTGGTAGAAAAATTGGAGAAAAAATTCCAAAACCCAAACCAATCTGTGATCCCACGTTGGACAAGGTGTTTAATCCCCCCTTGGAATCCATTGCCTTGGGTTTAATATTTTAACAACAGCTCCTCAAACTCAGGGAAAAAAAAAAAAAAGCAAAAAAAAAGAAAAAACAAAAGCTTTTTGAGTTTGTTGGCATCTCCAGAAGTCTGGAGTCACTTTTTTTTTTTGTTGTTGTTCCTCCTGAACCAACTCCAAAGGATTTTATTCCCCAGTTTGAGTGAGGTCACCTTGCAGTGTGGATGAGTAAGGGACTTTTTTTTTTTTTTTTTTTGCTCACTGTAATTATTGCAGTGATCTGTTAAAAAAAAAAACCTTCCCAAAAAAAGGTTCAGAAGCAACCTAAGATGAACTGTGCTCACACCAGTTAAAGTCTGCACCACAAAAAAAAAAAAATGGGTAAATCGAGGTCAGGATTGGGAATTTTTGGGAAAAAGTCTAAGAATGCTCCATGGAAATCACAAAACAGCAGGATCCAAACCTCTCCTCTGCCTTCCCCAAAACCTCGAGGTGAAGAAAACATGCAAAAACAAAGATTCGATGAGCCACCCAAAAAAAAAAAAAAAAAAAAAAAGTTTTAACTAAGCAGGAAAACAAAATTTCATCGTGTCCCTTCAGGACTTTTCCATTTCACGTTCAAGTTAATAATTATGAGTATCGTAAGTAAAATTAAAAATGTATTTACAAGAGGTGGGAAAGCACACCCAAACAGACAACCTGGCCCTGGGAAAACTGAAAGAATTCCAAAATGAAACCAAAAAAAAAAAAAAAAAATAAATAAAGATTCCATTGCGAAAGGAGCCCCAAGTTTTGCAAGGCAGCCCATGGGTGATCCGTGAATTGGTGCAGACAGACGAGTGTTGTAATAAACAACCCCGAGTGTCAGGAGAGTTCCTCACCACAAATCCAGTTTGTGCACTCTTTGTTCAGCCTCTGCAGAGAGGAGATTTTGTGGTTATTTTTGTTATGTAGATGAAAACAAAACACTTTCGATGACACCGGGGATAAAAAAAAAATAAAAAAAAAAGGGGAGGTTTCCCCTCCCACCACAAGCACTGGAAATAAAACGCAGCAAAAGGAGCAGTTTGTTCGTGTGGTTGTGGAGTTTTATGTTATTTATCAGCAGGAGAATCCCATGCAATTCTTGCTGGGAAGGATTAATTAAGACATGCACGGACAATTATTACAAAAAGTGAAAAATCACGAGGAGAAAGGGTTGATTCCCACAAGGAATTGGTTTTGTTTTTGTTTTTTTTTTTTAAACTAAATTTCAAAGCCCCTAAGGGAGCAATAAGGAAGAAAAAAGAACTCACCAGACTTTAGAAAGAAAGGATGGGATTAATTCCCAGAGAAACGGGGAGATAAAACAACAAACCAGAGGAGAGGAAAATGTCCTCTCAGCCATTCCCCACCCAATTCCGACCCTGGAGAAAGGAGAGGAACTCATTCACTGCATTTCCCCCGCTCTTTCCTACCCATACAAAGGCACAAAAAAAAGGAGAATAAATTATTCTCCCAACTCCATTCTAATGAATTACTCAGAGGGAAAGAAACTCCCGCGCTGTTTTGAGGAGGAACCACACCATCATCCCCCACACATCCCCTATTTCAATCAGCACCAGAGAGGATGGAAAGGCAGAAACAACCCCGGCGAGATTTTCCATGCTCGCCACGGGATCATGGAATGGTTTGGGTCGGAGGGGACTTTGAAGCTCATTTAATTCCAAGCTCCGCACCACGGGCAGGGATGCCACTCGTCAGATCCGGAGGGCCAGGTCTGTCACCTCTGCCCGCCAGCAGGGACTGGATGGAACAGGAATTCCATGGGAAAGGCCTGGAGAGGGAAATCCTGGCACGGCAAGCAGGCCAGGCAGGCTGAGGGCTGAGCCGGCATCGCTTTCCTTGTGCAAAGCTACAAGGAACACAAATACACGGGGGGGGACCGGCACCGCTGCAGCCCGGCCGAGGAGAGGAGAACAGAGGACCCAGCCCCGAACACCCGCAGCGCCTTCCCCGAGGGACCCGGACAGAACCGGCACCACCGAACCCCCAGTGAGGGAAATGAGGATCCAACACCCCTGAACCCTCAGTGAGGGAAGTGAGGATCCAACATCCCCGAACCCTCAGTGAGGGAAGTGAGGATCCAACATCACTGAACCCTCAGTGAGGGAAGTGAGGATCCAACATCCCCGAGCCCTCAGTGAGGATCCATCATATCCCGAGCCCTCAGTGAGGATCCAACATCACTGAACCCTCAGTGAGGGAAGTGAGGATCCAACATCCCCGAGCCCTCAGTGAGGATCCAACATTCCCCGCGCCCTCACCGAGGATCCAACATTCCCCGAGCCCTCAGTGAGGATCCAACACCCTCAGAGCCCTCAGTGAGGATCCAACACCCTCAGAGCCCTCAGTGAGGATCCAACATCCCCCGAGCCCTCAGAGAGGATCCAACACTCCCCGAGCCCTCAGTGAGGATCCATCATATTCCGAATCCTCAGTGAGAATCCAACATCCCCCGAGCCCTCAGAGAGACTCCAACATCCCCCGAGCCCTCAGTGAGGATCCAACATCCTCAGATCCCTCAGCGAGGACAGAACAGACCCGAGCCCTCAGTGAGGATCCAACACCCCTGAACCCTCAGAGAGGATCCAAAATCCCCTGAACCCTCAGAGGGGATCCATCATATCCCGAGCCCTCAGCGAGGATCCATCATATCCCGAGCCCTCAGCGAGGATCCATCATATCCCGAGCCCTCAGCGAGGATCCAACACCCTCGGAAGCCTCAGCGAGGATCCGGCATCCCCCGAGCCCTCAGCGAGGATCCAACACCCTCAGAGCCCTCAGCGAGGATCCGGCATCCCCCGAGCCCTCACCGAGGCGCGGGTGAGTCTCCAGCATCCCCTCCCCGGTGCCGCCGTACCGCATTACGGCACCGGGGAGCCCTCGCCAGCATCCCCGGCCTCACGGGGAGCGGATCCGGCCCTTTCCCGGCGCTCAGGGCCGGCATCCCCCCGCCCTCCGCCCATCCGCCGAGCGCAGCAGCACCGGCATCCCCCGTCCCCAGGGTGCTGCGTGGCCGCCCCACGGTGGGCAGGACGAGCCCCTGAGGGCAGCGCAGTGTCCCCGCAGTGTCCCCGCCGTGCCCCCGCCATGTCTCCGTTACCTGCGCGCCTCCCGCCGCCCTCACGGTCCCGCGCGCGCCGCTCGGGTGGCGGCGGCGGCAGCAGCGGCGGCGGCAGCGCCCGGCCACGCCCCTCCCCATGGCCACGCCCACCGCGCCATCGCGCTCCGCCCACTCCCTCCGCTCAGCCAATCAGAGTGCGCCGTACTGGTTGCTAGGTAGATCGGAACCCCCGGCCGCTCTAACCCCGCTGGGGGGCTCTGATTGGCTGGCACCCCCCGGGGTTGCCATAGCGACGGGATGCGGATGGGCGGGAGGAGGAGGCGGGAGCTGATTGGCTGGCCCCGTCTCCTCCTCCGAGGTTGCCATAGCGACGGGATGCGGATGGGGGGAGGAGGAAGAGGAGGAGGCAACGTCCGCAGGCGGGAGGAGGAAGGTGAGAGGACACGGGGGACACGGGGGACACGGGGGCGCACGGGGGCGCACGGGAGGGCGCGGGGAGCGGGTGTGGCTGCGGTGGAGCACGAGCGGACCCATCCCAGGGGACACCGGGGGTGGAGAGCGTCGTCACAGGGGGACAACCGCAGTGTGGCACGGCGGGGAGGGGACACAAAACGCGCCGGGACACGGCGGGGAGGTGGCACAAACTGCGCCGGCAATGCCGAGGGGATAACGGGGAGGAAGGTGGGAAACGCCGGTGGAAAATGTCATCGGTGCTCCCGATGTTTACATCCCGGCAGTGCAGCATGGATCCCTATGGATGGGGGTGCCCAGGTGGGCAAGACGCCGGTGGCACCTGGGTTGTCCCAACTCTGGGGTGGCAGCAGGGCCAGGGCAGTGCCCGTCCCCTGTGCTGGCACTGCTGGGACATCTCCAGTGCTGGGGACAGCTCTGGGACAAGGAGGACACGGAGCAGCTGGAGCATCCAGGGAAGGGAACAGAGCTGGGGAAGGGGCTGGAGCACCAGGAGAGGCTGAGGGAGCTGGGAAAGGAGAAAAGGAGGCTCAGGGGGGACCTTGTGGCTCTGCACAACTCCCTGACAGGAGGGGACAGCCGGGGGGGTCAGGATTTCTCCCAGGGAACAGGGACAGGAGGAGAGGGAACAGCCTCAAGCTGTGCCAGGGGAGGCTCAAGTTGGACATTTGGGTGGTCAAGCATTGGATCAGGCTGTGGTGGAATCTCCATCCCTGGGAGTGTCCAAAAACCAAGAGGATGTGGCACTTGGGGACATGGATTTGCTGATCTCAGAGATCTTCCACCAAGCTGAACAAATTCTGTGACTCCATGAAGGGAGTCCCCAATGACGGGGGTTTGAAGGCATCACACAAACAAAATAAAATCAGGGAATGTCTGGAAAACACGTTTGGAAAAGTCCCAGCCTTGCTGGATTGTTGATTATTGATTATCGATTATTGATTATTGATTATTGATTATTGATTTCAGCCCCAGCTCCTTCCTATTCCCCCCCTCTGCACCTGTGCTTGGTGCTGCTGCTGGAAGCCTTGCTCCCATCGCTGCACTGTTTATCTTGATAAAACAATTTACAACCAAAACTACCCCTCCTGTTTTAACTCGAGGTTGATTCAGTTAAATCCTCAAATTTTAAAATTTATTCCCCAGCTGAATTTTTCTATTGCTCCGTTGGTGCCACGTGGATTGATGGGATTAAGGGGAATTCATCCTTAAACCTCAGCATGCAGCAGGCTCTGTGCACCACAAAAGTTTTATTTCTGCAGAGATGTGGCCAAAAATCATTCATAAAATGGTTCTGCTTCTGCAGGACTTGTTTTGGGTATGGTTAAGCAAAGATTAGCCCAGGTGAAGGAAATTCCTCGTGGCTAAAGGGATAAGATCATGATGGATTGTTTATTTTTTAAACCATTTTTTAAATTCCAACTTGTACTGGAATGAATGGAGGTATTCCCAGTGGTTTCCAAGTGACATTTTCCTGCTGATACAATTCACCATTCCTGTCTCCTGCCCTGTGAAAATTTGTGTCTCCTTCATATCCAAATTTCTTGGATCCTCCCATCCCACCTGTGAACAATTCCAAGGAACTCTGGCAATTTTGCTCTTTTAACCCTGCATAAACTCACAAAACTTGGGATTTTTTTTTTCCCCCAAATCTCATCTGCACTGATATTCACCACACCTACCACCCGCTCCTACATTTATTTCCATTTTATTTTTTTTTTTAGAACGACAATAGATTTTTTTTTTTTTTTTTGCTATCATGTGTCAACAGCTTCTCCACTTTGAGCAATGAACCAACATTTTCCCGATGTCTATTTAAGGCCCGATCCTTGTCCACCTCCCCTCCTGTCTCTCGCTGCTGGAATGTTTTGGGATCACCTGAGCCTGACAGATTTCATCCCAGGATGTGGGAAGAAGGAGCTGGAGCAATTTCTGCAATGTTATTTTGGGCAGCCAGTCCAAAGATAACAAACCTTGCAGGAAGAAAAACCAGACCTTGCCTGGGCAACCTCTCAATCCCAGCCCTGCTCAGAATTCCAGCTGCTTTTCCATGGGGCTGGAGCCAGGCTGGGAGAGCTGGGGGTGTTCCCCTGGAGAAGAGAAGGATCCAGGGAGAGCTCAGAGCCCCTTGCAGAGCCTAAAGGGGCTCCAGGAGAGCTGGAGAGGGACTGGGGACAA